CAGATATTAAGATTGTTTTTTTTTTCTTTTTTTTAGTCAAGTTTCCTTCTGTACGGCAGCATATTTGGGCCATTTTGCAGATATATAAAAGGAATAAATCTCTGCCAAAAACCACAGGAATTTTGAGATTAAATTACAAAATTTTCAAGAAATAACAAGGAAAGTCTCTGAGCTCAAAAAGTCGGAAATTCGTGCGAAAAAACTGTTACTGAGACTAATTTCAGAACATTGTCAAGAAAAAAATTGGAAATTCACTTATGTAGAAAACTCATAAATTTGCTAGATTGACTCCTCCCCCTCTTAAAAATTAGGTGATTACAAATCATGGTTTTAAATAAAAGTGTTATGACAGAAATTAGTTTGGATTCTGACCGTGAAGAGGAGAGCTGTATTCATGACCATCAGCCTGGTTGATGCCATGATTTCTGGTGGAGCTCTGACTGTTCTCTGATTGTTTTGATCTAAAACATAAAAAGGTAAAAAAAAAAAATAATAACAACAACAACAACAATTCATGCCAGTGCAGTAGGTTATGCCAGTCTGGCACACTAGAATCTGGGACTGGGCAGACTGCTGTTCCACTAACTTCCCTGGAGACAGAATTGTCAAAAAATACAATTCTGAGTCAAGTTTTAAGACAGAGATGGACGATAGATCTACCTGGAGTGATTTACCTATGATGGACATGTCTCCTAATCATTTCTACTGTTTTACAGATGATCCCTTATGAAGGGTTCAGTAGGTGCAGGGGTGCTGATTTTTCCCAACCATAGTAAGAGAGAGCATACTGTAAATACCCACTAGGTTGTTTTGCAACTGTATCTCAAGCTGAGATATATGCAATCCACCAGAMTGTGGCATCTCTCAAAGACCTTCAGTGTACACAGAAGGAAATATTCATGCTAACAGATAAGTTGCTATTAGAGCTCTCCAGGGTCCACATTTTATGTCATTACTGGCTTGGGAGTGTGCCGAAGCAGTCAATCAACTGYGGAGAGATAACAGTGTTACTGTTAAATGGGTACCAGGACATATTGGCATTTATGGTAACGAGAGAGCTGACTACCTCGCAAAAGCTGGCAGTCAGGCTCACTTCAAAGGACCAGAGCCTGTTGTAGGTACCTCACCAACAGTCTGTAGGACTGCCCTACAGGCCTGGATTAGACGTTAACCCTCAATCCGCTGGAGGGAGCTGACGGACTGTAGACAGGCACGGGAACTGATTAACGGCCCAAATCTAAGGTTTGGGAAAGCTCTCATCTCTCTGTCAAGGAAAACTCTAAGTACACTGGTTGGAGACCTAACTGGGTACAATCTGTTCAGCTGCCACAAAATGGTGATGGGACTCCATGACAATGGTCTGTGTGATCCCTGTGGCATTGAATTAGAGACCTCTTAGACAACTGTGTGGCTCTGAGCAGTCAAAGGAAAATTATTCTTTGGGTTCCTTTTATGGATCCCAAGAATCTCAGAACTCCTGAGAGTTTCTAACCTTGTGCCCTTTGTCAGAGGGATGCAAAATAAAGTTTATTAAAATTCAGTGTCTTTTTGGGGAGAGGCCCCCGTTCACATGGGTTATTCACCTATCCCTGCTCAACATAACCATCCTAGTGAAAATAAAGACAAAATGTGACTTACTGACCTGATGCAGCAGGAATCTGTGAAAAGATATTTGTTGTTAAATTATTTTACTGTTCAAATCATACTGCTGTTGTTTGCTTCATATATCAAGACAACAAATTGGTCTATTTAATTAAAACTGTTTTTAAGCCAACAATCTGATCCAGAATCAGAAAAAAAGTCTCACCTTTAGGTTGTCTGCAGCGCCACAATAAGAGCAGGAGAATAATGAGAACAAGTCCAAAGATTCTATAAACTGGTCCAACAATCAGCAAAAGAGATGAAGAGCTGACAGGACTGGATACAGCTGCAGTAATTAATAAAAATTAAAATAAAATGTTATTTTTATGCACGTCATGACATGATTCGTTGTGTAAAGAAAAATCATACCTCAATCTAGAAGAAAAAAATGACAGCATTTCAAAACAAAACAAAAGTCATCAAACATTTRACCCTCCTCACCTCTAACTGACATCCAGCTCTGTGGTGACGTCTTTCCTGAATGTTCACACCTGTAGAAACCTTCACCTGACTTCAACACTGCAGAGATTTTCAGCTCCTCTCTGGCATCATTTTCAAGAAGTTTGTTGTTGTGATAGAAAAACACATCAGAAAGTAGTTTTTGTTCTTTCAGTCTGCAGCTCAGAGTAACAGGATCTCCCTCAGTCACAGGAAGGGCGGGGCTCTCCAGGATGACATCATCATTATTATCATCTGTAAAACWGTTTCAGTCAGTCCGTGTTCAGCAAGAATCTGGCCTCTGAAGACTGTTGAATTAACTTTGTTAGTAAAATATGTCATGAAACCCTGGGTGGATTTTGATAAAACAATCACAAAGTAATCAGTGGGTTTATCTACAATTGATTAACTTCAGAGTCACATCAACATAAAATGGCCACTATGACCAATAGATTTAATCACATCAAAACATCTGTTAGTTTTACAGATATAATAAATATGTTGGTATGGTAGTACCTGAGCGTCATGCCTAACACCTTCTCCAACAGCTACTCACTGGACAACATCTGTGTTTAAGGTTGTTGGCAAYAACTGTTAGTCAGCACTATCTATTTGTTAGCAAAATATTTGTGTGTGGCTCTACAATTTTTATTTTTATTTATTCATTTAAACCTTTATTTACCCAGTTATATCACAATGAGATAAAAAAATCTCTTTTCCAAGGGAGACCTGGCTGAGYACAGCAGCACACAACTCAGTAACATTTGCAGTCAACATATTCTAATGTAGCTTAATAATCCAGGCAGATTTTTTTAAACGGTTTAATAGGTCCTCGGATGAGAACCTCGTTATATCTGAAAGAGAGACCACAGGCCTGAAAACGAGTGTACTCATCAATCCTGCCCTGCACACATAAAAAACAGTATATTTTTTCATTCTYTGTTTCTGTCTGGAATAGCAATAATAAGTTGAAAAAGATAAAAACAAGGCGTTTCAGGTGTCATCTGACAGTTTTTCTATTAAAAGTACATCAAACACATATTTACAGTATTTTTGTTATGTTTTATAGTTCCACCTGCTCTTAGAATAACTAAGAATGTAATATTGTTAGATAACTAAAACTATAAGAAATGATAACATACTCTGTACAGTGATGTTGACAGCGTTGCTGAACTCTCCTGATCCAGACTCACACCAGAAGACTGCACGATAAAACCAGTAAACATTTATGATGCATGAGTCTTCAGTCGTGTCCCAGGAGGCGCAGGCTGGCCAGTGACCTGAGTCTGAATGACCTGAGTCTGTAAAAGTCTTCACTCTCCATTCAGTAGAGTTTCCTTCACAGTTCAGAGACACAGACTGAGACCTGAAGTGTTGGACTCTGTCAGGATTCACTTTGAGAGACACTGCTGGATGAGAGTCTGAAGAAAACAAACAAAAAACAGATTTTTTTTTCTAGGCACAGAAAAATTTCTGAAATACACATTCACTTTATTATTAAACAAATGCAGAATATCAATTCAAACATTTCTACAAGTAGATCAAACTAATTTATGTTAAAACAGTTAAACAACTAATGTCCAAGAAACTGACCTGCAGACCAAACAAACTTTGGTTGACTGTAATCAGTGTAACACTCTGGTTGTCCTCTTCRTGCTCTGCACACATATCCTGCTGTGTGCTTCTGTTCAGGAATGATGAAGGAGTTCTGTTCAGTCCCCRTGGAGCTYCCAGGCAGCAGCTCATAGTTGTAGTCAGTGCTTGATGYTTTGGGAACAGCTTGATACCAGAAGAAGCTCCATCCTGCAGACGGAGGTTTAACCTCACAGCTCAGAGTCACTGAGGCTCCAGGACTCAGCCATGATGGAGACACAGAGAGGACAGCCRCAGGTTTATCTGCTGGAGGGAGATATTGTAGGAATCAATCTTTGGAAATTAAGATTATTTTTGTAGGCCCTGTTAATCCTTGCCAAATTGATCTGTGACCTCAGTGGGATTGCATTCCCCTGTAACCAAGTAGGAAAATCTTACTTTTAGTTTTATCTGAATTTCACCAYATCCTTCTTATTTCTATCTTTCTTATGTTTATAGGCAAGTTCCAGCCTTTTTTTTTTCATTGAAATCACTGAATAGTATGTATTGTGCAAGTAGGCCTGTACTATTTCTTTAAGAAGTTGAGCATGATGTGATTGCTGCAGCAGCCCCAGTCTGCAGCTTGCTATCTGAGAGGTTCAGTATGTATTTTAATGCTCCTGCCAGTTAAATGCATTTATTTTAAGAGTTAAATATTTATAACTATTAAAAGACTCCTTATGATGAGTTATAGCAATGGGAAAGATGTTRCCTTGCTTGGATGAATGTCACCAGGTCCCCACTCTGGAGCCAGGCCTGGAGGGGGGGGACGCTGGTGAGCACCTGGTGTGCCGCTAAGCTAGCTGTGATGGTCTCTATGTGTTTGCTAACAGGTAAGATGTGTACACGGGAGTGAGTACATGTGATATTTTAGGGTTACCAATTAGACAATCATTCATATTTTTGGTCTGTGGCAGTGCCCAGAGAAAACCAACGCATGCGTGGAAAGAACATGGAAACTCTACCCAGAAAGGTGTATGACTGGGATTTGATCTGGCAACCTGCTGAGAGGCAACAGCTCTACCAACTGAGCTCTGCCCTCACTGGGGTTTACCTAGTAAAATAACATGAAACCAGAGTGGGAGCTGAAGTTGTTCTGTTTAGATTATTCAGAAAAAAATATCAAATATATGACCTTTTAAACACAGTTGATATCAATTTAACTCACATGAAACTGTCAGACTGAAGGGYTCACTCCACTGTGTAWCATCAGAGCCTCTTSTACCAATGCAGCTGTAATCTCCACTGTCAGACTCAGTAACTGTGTTGATCCAGTTTTCACTGGATGTTGGAAAGTCTCTGTAGTTTTGTGTCCGTCCATCTCTGTAGTTTAGTCTCCATCCATACTCCCACTGAGTTCCTCCTCCTCCCTGGATCTCACATGTGAGTCTGACTGTCTCACCTCTGAATATCTGGGACCAGTTGTGTTGCAGAGTCACAGTGGGTTTAATGGAACCTGCTCACAGAAACATGATTCATTTGGGACAGATGCAAAACATAAATCAACAGAAAATTGTCCTGATTTCATTTGAGCAGGTGCATTCTAAATAAGCTATTTGGACATTTTAAAATGT